GACCTGCCACGCTGTGTCGTATCACCACGGGCAATACTACAGCACACAGCTGCCAGGCAGGCTGCAGCACCCGTGTGCCAGTGTATCGCCTGTGGCGACACAACGCAGCCCCAAAGCCTTCCGGCCAGCTCTGTGTGAGCAAATCGCCTGTGGCGACATCACACGACACCACTTGCCCACATATACACATATCAGGACAGCTGTGCGCACTGAGCAGAAAGGATCACTCATGTTAGCGTGGTGTCACCAGGACAAACCAGTCGTTCTCAATTACAACTGGACCTAAACTCATGAAATGAAATGTAGGAGGCAACAGAGGACATTACCTGCATCGAAAGAGCCCGCTACCTCGAGAAAGCACGGTTGTTTGACTAAGAACGAGTGATTTTACGGATCATGGGGGCTGCCCACCAGGTTCAGGTCATCGTTCTTGATGGTGAGTGGACCGTTAGGTTAGGTTAGGTTATGAGAGATTTGCATGACATTCCAGGTTCACAGGGATGGGGTTACTCTAAGTTAGACCCTAACCCATCATTAGGGTTATATCTGGCCCTACTCTTACAGGGGCAAGTGGCTCTGGCTAGGACAACAGTTGTGTGTAGCATGACTCTTAGGATCTATATTGCTTTGGTCAAGCCACTTTACTGTGCGTTGGACGTCCCTCCCGCCCAGACCGCCTTTGGCTCTCCCGGGGAGAGAGACACAATTGGTACCAAAGTTTAACATAGGTAAGTTAAACTAGTTTTCAACCGTTTTGTCCAAGAATTGGCCAGGTGATAGCTATACCCCTCCTTGATACCGTCCCAAATTTTCTAAGGAATTGGCGGAACCGTTTTTGAGCTGTTCGTCGTGTAAGACAGTGTGTAGAGTCTGAGTGGCCACCGGCAATGCGCGGCAGACGCGCCGGCATTTGCCGGTCAACTCGAAGATTCAGTGGCGTGCTGTGGCGTCCACTTGTGCATGTCATTCCATATATATGTACTGATCGAATTACGATAGTATGCACATTGTCCTCACCTAACAGTCTGCGACGGGCATAATGCACCATGGTGCGCTTGGGCCCGTTCCCGACGCGATACGGCCCCGACCGACGACCTGAGGGCACCTACGGGACGCCCTCGATGGGGGCGGTCGCCCCGTACAAAAAAAACCGCACCTCGATAGGAAAAAAATCGAAGGGGGGCCGTTTAGGCTGGGGGGGCGCCGTTTCCGCCAAAAAGTCGAATTCTCGACGAGAAAGGGCCGCGCGGACCCCAAACTCGTCGCAGACACACTCTATGGAGTGCAACGAGTGCCGAAACGCAAAAAAAGAAGAGGTCAAAAGGAAAGAAAAAAAAGCGCACCACGGCCAGAGGCGCACCATGCCCCCCGTCTGACACAAGATCAGCGATTCCCACGGCGAACGCGCAGATATCGACGGGGAGTTTGCTGGATATGATAGGGCGCATCTAGACGAGACTTTAGAGCCCCTCGCGAACTTGATTGAACAAAAATTGGTTGAGTTTCCGTAAATTTTGGGTCTGGGGGCCACTCACCGCCAGAAATGGCCATGGCGAGGCCGATATTGCTCCGTCCAACGAAGTGAGCGTATCTACGAGGTCGCATTAGTATATGGAGTGAGGAACAACGCCGAAAACTATACCGTAAACCTCAAAGTTCCGAGTGCGAGGTCTTTGGGGGAAAGGGCGCACCCCCCCAGCCAAAAAGTCGAAATTCATCGCATGAATGAGCACGCGGACCCCAAACCTGTTTCAGACACGCTCTATGGAGTGCAATTGGTGCGTCAACGCAAAAAAAGAAGAGATCAAAAGGAAAGAAAAAAGAAGCGCACAATGGTCGGAGGCGCACAATGCCCCCGTCTAACACCAGATCGTCGATTCCCACGGCGAACACGCAGATATCGTCAACGCGTTTGGTGGAAATGGTATGGAACATCGAAGCAAAACCTTTGAGCCTATAGCGAACAGTATTGAACGAAAATTGATTGAGATTCGGGAAATTTTGGGTCTGGGGGCCACTCACCACCAGAAACGGCCATCGCGAGCCCGGTATGGCTCTGTTCAACGACGTGAGCGTATCTGCGAGGTCTCATAGGTTAGTAGAATGCGGAATAACACAGAGAACTGTACCATAGAGGTTGCATTTCCGAGTACGCGGTACTTGGGGGATGGGGAACACCCCCCAGACAAAAACTCGAATTCTCGACGCGCAAAGGCCGCACGGACCCCAAACTTGTTGCGGCCAAACTCTATGGAGTCCAACAAGTGCCTCAACGTAAAAAAAAGAAGAGATCAAAAGGAAAGAAAAAAAAGCGCACAATGGTTGGAGGCGCACAATGCCCATCTAAGTACCCAACAAACATTGTTGGTGACGGAGGGCGACCGGTTATCTTCAATGCATTGATCGTCAATGTTATGGGACGCTCATATACGTATTTGGAGCCTAAAACGAAGGTAATCGCACGAAAAATGAGTGAGTTACGCTAAAGTTTCGGTGAAAATGGCTCTAAGGGGTGACTTACCCCCAGAAAACGCGATTCCGAGCGCGCTATGGCTTCGAACGGCGACGCGATGACAGCTACAGAGTCGTATCAATTGGGTGAGTCACATACAGCAAAAGAAACCGGCCAGTGAACCTTGAATTCCCAATCGCGCGACACGTAGAGGTGGGGGGTGGCCCACCGGCCAAACAGACGATATCTTCACCCTGAGAGGGCGCACCGGCCCCAAACAAGATGTAGATACAGTCTACGGAGTGCATTGAGTGCCGTCAAACACAAAAAAGGAGCAAGAGAAAAGGAAGATAGGAAGGCGCACCATGGTCGCTGGGCCAGGGAACTTTCCCACGGTTTCAAATCGGCGCCGATTTGACCTGCTGGTGGCTGTGCAGAGACCGTTCTCAACAGTGGTCAGGCCGTTTTCCGTCAAACCAAGTTGGGTTATGAGAGAATCAATCTGTATGATAATTATGAGCCCTTGAGGGAAGAAAAAGAACGAAAAATGAGTGAATAACAGCGCATTTTCCGAACCGGCCCTATAAGCCATCACTTACCGGCATATCTGACCTCGCTCTCACTCATCCCTGGGCCGATTTGCTCCAAATCTCGTGTGCGTCCGTTGGCTATGACTGCTATGATGAATTTAAGCCTATCACGATAAAAATCGGAAAAGAAATGAGCGAATGGGAGCAAGACTTCAGGGAGGAGCCCAGTTGCAATAACTCACCCCACTGATGCCGTCAATCTGAGCCGCTTGTGACTATCTTGCGTGCGGACCTTGACTGAAACTCGTAGCCTATATAGTGACGATAGGTTTGAGCCAGCTACGAAGAAAATCGACCCAAAAATAAGTGAAAACAAACCTATTTCCGAGGAGGGAGTATGGTAGTGGGAACTCACCAATATGACCATGGTCATTCTACATGATGACAACGCCGTTTCTCCTCGAATCTTCGATGGCGGCTGTAGGTTACATACAGGAGGCTTTGGCAAGCCAGTCTGCAAGAGAAACGATCCATTATTCGGTAAGTTATAGAGACTTTCGCGGTGGGGGGTAATGTACCCTCACCCACCTCCTTACTGCTCGTCATTCTCACCGGTAACTGGGTCGTTCTGGCTGCAACCAAGTGCGAGGGTTATACCCTACATTACCATCGTTAATATGAGCCATTGACGATGAGAATATAACGACGAATGAGTAAGAACGGGGGAAATTAGGACGAGGGGTGGCGGGCAGAGGTAACTCACCGGGAAGACTGAGCTGTCGCTGCATGACGAGACGGGCGTTTCTCTCCGAAACTTCAACGCAGCTGACAGCGTACATTGGGACCTTAATGTCGAGCCCATAATCAGCTGACGCGATCCAATATCGTATGTGTTAGAGGCGATTTTAGATGGAGGGGTAGTAGAGGGAAAACTTACCATGGTGTTGGTAGCCGTTAAGGACGATGTGTGGGTCGTATCTCTTCAAACATTGACCGGCTGGGATTGCGATGGCCTATAACGTCAGTACGAGCCCCTAATGATCCAAATCGGCTTAGAAATGAGCGATATTGGACGAATTTTCGGAGGGGGGTAATGAGAGCGAAAACATGCTGACCTTTTTGTCCTCGTTCTCGACAATGGCGGGGTCATTTCCGTTCCAACTTTGACCTGGGCTGATAGTGGAGGTCCTTGCCGTCATTTCGAGCTCCTAAAGACGCAAATCGGACCGGAATTGAGCAAACACAATCGAATACTCGAGGCAGGGTCTTAGGAGGCGGAAACTGACCTGCATATTCTGCTTTGTTCTTCCTCATTACTCGGTCGATTCGCGTCAAGCTTTCTGTGGCGCGGGTGGAGATGACTGTTCCCATCAATTTGAGTCTATATGAAGCCAAATCAAACCGAAAATGATCAAACGCGAACAGAAATTCCAAGAGAAGCATTTTGGGGCCATCACTCACCTTGGAGGTTCACATCGACCCGCCCGTTTGCAGCGGTGGTGTGCGCAAACACGAGCGGGGATCGATGGCACATATGTATGCTGTGATTTCTAGCAAATTATCCTAAAGAACGAACCGCAACTAAGCGAGAACGAACAGAGTTTCTAGGAGGGGGAGTGCTGAGAGTGAAACTCACCTCACTGTTCGTGCGCGTTCCAGATGATGCACGGGTCGTTTCTCTCCAAATCTTCCTTGTGAGGGATAGTACATACCTGTGCCGTCATTTTGACGCCGCTACACTGGAAATCGAAGGATATTTGAGCGAACGCGAACGCATTTTCAGAACAGGGTATCAGGAACAAAACCCACCAGTGTGTTCCCTCTTGTTCTCGCCGTTGAGTGGCCCGTTCCCTGCCAACTATTATTGTGGCTCGTGCATCTGCGTAGTCCCGTCATTTCGAGCCCGCTACATCGAAAATCGAACGATAATTGAGCAAACGCGAAGATGTTTTCGAGAAGGGCTGCTATAAGCGACAACTCACCGATACATTCTGCCTCGTTCTGAAGAATGAGTGGCCGGTGTCCTGCCAAACGTTTATTGGCGTTGATGGAGCTAGGTTGTGCCGTAAATATGAGCCCGCTACATTGAAAATCGAGAAGGAATTGAGCGAACGCGAGCAGAATTGCGAGACAGGTATATGGGATGGACGAGAACGTACCAACGTTATCGTCCTTGTTCTCGACGATCAGTGGGCCCTTTTCTATCAAACCTTTATCTGGATCGATGCCCCTGTACCGTCCCGTCATTTTGAGCCCATAACGTTAGAAATCGAACAGGTATTGAGCAAATGCGAACATACTTTTGTGAACGGAGCATTGGAAGCGAAAACTCACCAACGTGTTTGTCCTCGTTATGAAGGTTGCGTGGACCGTTTTTGTTCGAATCTTGATTGGTACTGACTGAGTACATTCCCTCCGTCATTTTGAGCCCGCAACGTCGAGAATCGGGCAGAAATTGAGTGATTGCGGACGTATTCAAGAGGGAGGGTCACACAGAACTGAGACTCGCCACCTATTTTTCCCGCTAGCAAGGACGACCTAGTTTTTCAGACTCAGAACGATGCCATAGCTTACGAAACGGTTCCAACCGTAATTCGGAACCCGTGCCGTGAGAGAACGAGCCCCGATTGAGCCATATCCAAGCAATTTTGTGTCCAGTACAGACAGTGTTCCCTTGGTTACCAGCCAGTGAATGTAGCAGAGTCCACTAAGATGCATGCGGACACGCAGTCACAGACAGGGACACAGACCAACATAACATTGAACTTGTGACCAAAGGGGGATGAGATATATATCTCAACCCCTTCACTCACAGTCGCGACTTTGTCGCGACTTGCGTCGTGGTTGAAAAGACAACAAGGCGGCAAATGCCGAAGTGTGGCAAATCCAACTGGTGGCCACAGTGGCGCTTTGCGAGCGAGTCCAAACGAGTTTGGGTTGCTGCATAGCCATTTGCTGGACCGGAAAATTGAAAGGAAGGGTCAATGGTAAGTTAAAGACTGTGAACAGGGTATTTTAGCAACAACAGAAGGGTACAACGAGGGAAATGATCGTGGGAAAACAACGATAAAATCGATTTTTTTTGGGTATTTTCGTGTCAATTTCGAGGGAGGCGGAGGATAAATGACGGGGCGAGGGTTGAGTGTCGGTTTGAGCGTGACGGGATGAAAGATATGGCAGAGATGTTTGAGAGCGTCGTGGATAAGGTGGAGTGGGTGTGACGAGGATGTGATTTACGTGTTGGTGGAATAGAGCGTGTTTGTGGCGTTTTCGAGGTGTGTGAAGGTGGTGAAGACGAAATGTGAGCGTCAGAGATGAAAAAAGTGACAGAGACGTGGGTGAGATGTGATAAATCGGGCAGAGTCGATGTGAGTGAAAATACGAGTGTGTTGGATAGGAGCGTGTTTCGAGATGTGGGAGACGTGTTTTTGGTTAGGAGAGACGTGTTTTGATCGGGAGAGACGTGGAGAAGGTTAGGATTGACGTCAGAGTCGCGTTTTTTGGGTATTTTTCGTGACAATTTCGAGGGAGGCGGAGGATAAATGGAGGGGGCGAGGGTTGAGTGTCGGTTAGGTTAGGTTAGGTTAGGTTAGGTTAGGTTAGGTTAGGTTAGGTTAGGTTAGGTTAGGTTAGGTTAGGTTA